CATATGAAATGGAGTTGAGAAAGAGAGATGCAGCACTATAAGGTAAGGCAAAAAATAGGGGCGAGGAATTATGCTGCAAGGGGATTGGCTTCACCTGCCACTTTGCAACCAAGTTGCTAACGGTGTCACCTCTCAATGAGGATGCCGACTATGATCCCTGCAAAATGTCTGGGAATTCACCAAGTCAACGGTCAGATATTTAAGGGCATCATGAAAACTCGAGGGCAAAGGATGTAGGACTATGATTATTTCACATAGTCTCCCTGTTACTCCAACCAAGTTGCGAAAACGAGGTCAAACCAACACTATACAGCTAAAGGCGACGAAGATCACACAATAAGCCGCACCATCTTGGTCTTCATTTCTATAATATTTTACTTGATTAAGGGTTTTTTGAGATAATAGCCTATAAATACGAATTGGATTAAAAAAATTAATGTTAAAAATTTCAGGAACAGCCAGAAAACTTGCTGCCGGCCGAGGACTTTGCCCCACCCGAACTTGTGGAACTGCTGTTTATAGGAAACTGGGTCCACTATAGGCCCTGCATTAACAGACAAGGTCGCTGCAACTGGGTTACAAAAGCACGCTCAACACGTGCCTTTACTGAAAGTCTGGAGGAGGGTCAAATAATGGCAGACGAGCTGATTGATCTGGTACGCATTTCGGCGGGTGATACTTGGTTTAGACGGCAGCTAAAGCAGCGTATGGAGAACGGGTCAATGCAGTTGGCAAATATGGATGTAAACACGGTGGAGGAGATAGGCGCATGGTGAGTGAGGTCAAAAGAATCACAGCAAACAGGACATTAAGTTGGCTTACCTAATGACTGGTAGCATTGGTGGCCGAATGGCTGCGTGAATGGTTCTTTGGATGGTAGAATGGGTGATGGTTTGACCAGCTACATGGTAGGCTATCTAGCACTTTATTTGAGATGTATTTACTCTATTTCGCTTGACGTGATGAAGATGATGGTAGTAGGATTTTCCCACAATCATATAAGTAAAGATGACGTTTCCATTGAATTTTTCATATCTTTGTTTCCCAAAAGTTGTTCTCATCCAGGCTGAAGTTGATTGCAGCTTCGACCTTGCATAGGTCTTATCAACATCCCCCGCAGGAGTCGAACCGTGACAGCACAGCATGTGATCTTGAAACGTTAGCCACTCAGCAACATTGCCACAGGGCATATGTGAATTTCAAGGAAGGCAAGGCCTTTTACATTATCACATGCATTGGTGGGATTGTCGATGAAGTAACCGTATTTTTACCATAACGATCGACTACATTACATATTTTTTGTATATATGCAGAGTTTGGAGAATACCATCCTACCTAAAATGAAATAGGGTGAATACATTTCTGCTAATATACGAAAGTTAACTGGAACTTTATTGAATAAATCGCCATCCAAATTTATGAAAACCTAGGAATATCATTTTGTATTTTTGTTTTATTCATTATTAGACTAAAAATGTGCCAGAGTTGAGAGGATGAAGACAATGAATAAAAAACTTAGAATCTGATTTAGGAAAGTTCTATTATAAAAGACTATTTGTGTATATGAACCTACCTAAGTAGGAATGATGAATATGTCGAGAAGGGATATTTTTTGTTAAATAAAGGCATGTTATAATTCAAGAGGGACGACAATAGTGTAATTAAAATAATTATGTTGAATCTAATTGTTAGTTTTGAGATAGCTGAGGCTTCATATAACTTTTAGATAACATTCGAATATTCAATAATGTGCTTTTAGAAAAATCTAGCTTGTTCGATTTTTGAATGGGCCACTGTGAACCAGAAGGACAATGTAATGTAACCATAAATGCAAGAACAGAGGCTGTAATCCTTCTTCCATTATATCGATTATTTCTGAATATTCTTCCGAGGTTTGCTTTTTTGATTCCACGCCAACTATTTTGCGGTATAAGATAGTATAAAATAAAGATAAAATAAAGGGAATATTTGGTAGAAACTGTTAGTTTATCACATGGAATAGTATCAAACTCCTGTTTTTTGTGAAATCAGATATTAAATTAAATGCATGCTACGATCCGACCACATATGAAATTAGGGGTAGATAGATAAAATATGAATTTATGGAAGAACCAATATAATGAGATAATTTGTCCTCGTGCATTCTTCATTAGGCATTTAGTAAGCTGACTAAATTTGTTATGGCAAGTAAATCTGATCGAATAAGGCCGTTGGAGGACACACTTTTTCACGTTGATCGCCAAGCAAATTCGAAAGTGGGACGATCAATTAATCATAATTGATCTTTCTTAATGATAGATATGATTATAGAGGTTAAGAGGTACCGTTTATGTTTCACTACGACAACTATGCTTTATGCCACTCTCATCTTAGTCTAATCACAAAATATAGAGGATTAGACAATAATATGTTGAAAAACACGGTGAGAAAAGCATAGGGACCAATTATCTAGGAGTACTAGTAGTTTGAATTTGTTTTTGCAACTTGGTTTAATTGGCAAGAAGACCTAGAGGAACGCACTCTGTCCGGAGTTCATAGTATGCACGATAATCTCCAGAGTCAGATTGTCGACTTGGTACATTGCTAAACGTTTGGCCGGCATCGTAGTCAGCATCGGCAGTGCACCTTGCCATTCTCACCACGATACTACAACACGTTGCAGTGACAACTAAAGTCGATCCTTTGACCAATTGCCTGCTAAACAGTTGTGCTATCTCTCTATCCTATATCTTCATATCACCACTTCAATATCACAATTAATTACTTGTCTATCCAATTGTTGGAGGGAATTTCATTTCGTATGAAAGTGCAGGAAGAAGATATTCGTGGGTCGATCTTACCAGCTAACGAAATTAATTTTTCTTAAGGCTTAAGCAAGTAAGTGACAGACTCTCGAATACCGTAAAGAATTCATATGAATTTTCGACATACAATCCAAGTACACAAGCATCTCATATAAGAAGGCGGTAAGCGATCAGCTGTAGATATTTGAGCAAGATCAGGAAATACTGGAGGCAGAACAGATACGGAAGGGATCTTTGAAATGTCTAATCAACTTAAAAGAGAGGAGCATATATTTTACATTTAACGGGAGTGTCTATGGGCAAATATTTGGAATACAGGTGGGATCTCCACTCCTATCTCTTTTGGCAAATGTATGCATGGACAAGTTGGAAAGGGAATTTGAGAGATCAACACTTCAACCAAGAGTGCTTATGCGATACTTAAATGACTACTTTGCACTTTGGCCAAATAATAAGGAAAATTTTAATGGATTCCTCAATTTTATCAACCAATTTGATAAAATAATTAAATTCACAATGTATGTGGAGGAGAAGGAACACTTATCCTTTCTGGATACTGAAATAATGCGCTCCAACGTGACACTCATGAGAAAACTATTCAGAAAAATTCATGACGCAATACTCCCTAATTTTTAGACTCATAATAACTGCAGACTAAAGATCAATATATAGAAGAGTTTTATCATCAGAAGCTGAGTTCTAGGACGAAGAGTTTGGCAAACTGAATCAGATTTGCCTTAGTAATGGTACCCCAGAGAATTTATGGAAACAAATAAAGGGGTCGTAAAAAGCAGATTTGAACTAAGATTTTATAATAATCCTATCAGGGGCCAAGAGGACGACCAAAGTTGATATGTATGCGCTCATGTGAACTGAGCAAAAATTACGATAACAAAGGAGAAGAATATACTTTTTACCTGTCTGCCGAAGCAACACAAGAAGATTAACAAACTGGATTGCTCGGGTTTTTAGAACATCCAATGCAGCAACAGTGAGCAGTAGTATATTTGTGAACCAGAAAGAAAAATCAGCCTACGAATCAAGGAACATTAAATACTCTGTAAAAACATGGATACGCAAAGATCCGACTAGGTCTTATCAACACCCTCAGCGGGTATCGAACCGTGACAGTGCAGAATGTGAGCTTGGTATGTTAACCACTTGGCCACATTGCCACGAATACCCTTTGGTCAAAGGGCAGATGTAAATTTCGAAGAAAGCCAGGCCTTTTCTCATATCACATTAGTTAATGGGGTTGTCGATGAAGCAAACGTATTTTTTCTATAACAATCGACTAAGTTACTTATTTTTCGACTCCTATTGGGGGTGCTGTTAAGACCTATGCGAGGTCGAAATTGCAGTCCACTGGTGCTTGGATGTGAACAGCTTTTGGTAAAACAAATCTATGTGAAATTCATTGGAAATCTCAACTCTCCTAATATCATTGTGTAAAAATTATATTACCATTCCTTCATCACTTCAACGAAATAAGGTGAATGCATCACATATTACTGAATTATTGGTAGTTTCGAAATTCTACTTACATACGAAAAAAAAAATTTTTTTATTTTGGAGACTTTATAGGACTTTGCTCTCTTGTATTCATTTGAAATCAGAATAATCTAATTGATGCTTTGATTTAACTAAAGTGACTCATTATTACTCTTTTACATCATATTGATTAAGAAGCATTACAAAATAACACATTAAATATTCATAAAATTGCTATTTGCCTTAATTCCCAACAATCATTTACATTATGAACAAATGTCCAAGTATGCGTTTCAATGATAATGTATGCGCATATGCAAATTGATGTATTTCGCTACAAAACATATACTCTCGCGCAAATAACTAAAAAGTAAACACACGAATATTATAAAGTAAAAATGTCTAATCTCCTGGTGCATATATGCTCAACTGCCTAGTCGCATACGTGTACCAACAAAACGGCGAATAGGAATGAGAAACGCAGACACTTAAATACCTGCATACAAACACGAGTTCATCACTTTGCACACTCACATACTCGCATACACACATGCATGCCATCAAATCAGGCTGACCAATTTATACGCCTCAAAAGCAAACGACGAAGGATTGGGAGAAGAGGGAAACGAGGATGAAGAGGTGGACCTCGAGGAGCCTGAAGAGATGCCTGGTATACTCGGCCCCATCGATGAGGATGCTCCTCTCGTACCAATCGGACATGTAGGCCTTCCGGATGGCAGACTGGGTAATCTAGCAGTTAGAAAATCCGGCAGTTCTGGAGGGGCATCAGGTGGTTCTGCCCTCTCTCGAGGGCAAATATCGGCTGCTGGTCAACCATTACCGGCATGGCGCTCACGTGCCTCTACTGTGCTTTTGCCGTCCAACTGCACTATCACAATAATAAGCAACAATCGCTGGCCTGGTGCCAATACTCTAGCAAAGGGAGCGTGAGTTCGAAAGATTCCGTGAACCTTACTGTTTTACACTTTATCTATTCATTATTTATTGTAGGTTATTGTTAAACAGGTTTTAAAATTTAACTATAACTTTCTCTATACTTTATCTGTATCTACACAGACACACGCACGCACAAACGCACAGAAATACAGACAGACAGACACACACATATATTTATATATATATATTTATATATATATATATATATATAGAAAGAGAGAGATTG